GAGGTCCAGAATATGCATATGTAGAATGCTAAACCAACCTGCACCAAAGATAGTGATTAGAAAAGCTTAGTCTTGTAACATGAGGGAAAAGAAATACCATGGAAATCACCTGATCTCTGAGTTGAGCTTCAGTATTGGTTGAAGATTTCCACCAAAGTAGCCCCAACAAAAGTGCAATTCCAAGTGCTTGAACTAGCCTTAGCTTATCAAAATAGTCCTTGCATCTTGCTCTAAATGTTCTCCTGGAAAGAATCACAAATTGGTCCAACCAACTCAATGTCCACTCCTTCTTAACCTGTATGGCTAGTTGAAGATGTTCTGGTGTGTTTACTTCTCTATGATTCGCTTCTTTTTCTTTTGGCTCCAATAGAGTTTTGTATTTGAGTTGTAGATACTAACATAATAAAGAAACGTTAATAAAAATGCAAGAGATGGAACATGTACTTAAATATGAGTATGTTTGGATAAATTTTTTCATAAATACTTTTAAGAGAAAAAAATAAGAAAAAAGGAAACAAGTTTCTTTACAAGCTAAAATTAGCTCATATGTAAGTTAATTTGAAATTTTTTTTCTCATATTAGCTTCTCCAAAAACTTATTTATAACTTATAATAAGTTAGTTTTAATTTATGAAATTATATCATTTTTCTTCTCCTAGAAGTGCTTATGAAGAAGTTTATCTAACCAGACCCTATAGATGTCAAAGGATTTCCTACTTTAATAACAGCTTCTGCAGGGTCACCAGATTCTTGATTTTGCAAGATATCTGATGGAACACTTATATCATTCACTTGTCCAGTTGCTAAGTCAAGCAAGAACTCTGCAGGATTCATTGATATTTGTGGGGAGAATCTCAAGGATGAAAAGTACTCCATTGTGTCTTTAGCCTTCCCATAGTACACAGGATAGCCTTCAGATATTAAAAGAAGTTTGTCAAACATGTGAAAGATTCTGCTGGATGGCTGGTGTATTGTTGTGATTATGGTCCTTCCAGCCTACGAGTAAATCAAGTATAACTCTCAGCATACATATAACATATCTATGTATTTAGGTTCAACATTTGAGCATTTTATCACAATGGAACATGAAAAAATTAGATGAGAAATGTTAGCGACATACTCTCCAAAATTTTCTTGTGAATACTCTCTCTACTATTGGTTGGAAATCACAAATTTTGGTGGATCCTACTAGTAAATCGTGAGAGAGACCAATTAAATGAGATGCAAGACCTACAAAATTTGTGATTTTCAATAAATTTTAACTAACAATAAGGAGTGTTAGAAAGAATGTGTTAGAGGGAGTGTCGCTAGCATTCCTCAAATTAGTTATAGATACCTTAGCAAGTCCTTGAAGAGTAAGAAGAAGTTTGTTTGCTGAGGTGGAGTCAAGGCCAGAAGTTGGTTCATCAAGCAGCAATAATGAAGGATCAACAAGAATTTCATAGCCTATGCTGGTTCTCTTCCTTTCTCCTCCTGATATGCCTTTGAGATATCCTCCAGCTATTTTTGTTTTGCGACATCTAATTATGGTTATGAAAGAGATTATTTAGGGAAACAATTTCATGTTTTTTCATTTGATGCAACTTTTAATCAGTTTTCACATGCACAAATTAAAATGTGGTGCAAAACACACCTTTCAAGGCCAAGCTGCTTGATAGTGGTGTCCACTCTTGCATATTTTTGCTCCTTGCTCATACTATTTGGTAGCCTCAAGAGTGCAGAGAAGACTAATGTTTCTTCAACAGTTAATTGTGGGAAAAGCACATCCTCTTGTGTCACAAATCCAATCCTAGCAGGTAGGGTAAAAAAAGAAAATAAAATAACATTAGCACACATTCATGTTCTATAAAGGATCAAGTACTTGAAGTAACATCGAACAGGATTGCCTACAGTTAAGGATTCCTTGTATTCATGCATTTATCTAATCAGAACCGTTAACATTAGCACACATTCATGTTCTATAAAGGATCAAATACATGAAGTAGCACAAAACAGGATTATCTACATAGAGGGAGTCTTTATATCCATGCATTTAACTAATTGGAACCGTTAGATGAAGATCAAATGACTAAAATACAAATCATATGATCTTCATCTGACGGTTCCGATTTATAAATGCATGAATGTGTGAATGCAAGTAATCCATTCCCTAAGTAACAAAGATGATTATGATAACCACTTAACCTCCTCTTGACAGCTGGAGTAAAACGAACATCATTGTAAGTTACTTTTCCCTTTACATTGTCAACTAGTCTTCCTCCTATAACTCTCAACAAAGTTGTCTTCCCACTGCCAGAAGGACCCATCAGAGCAAGAATTTCACCAGGACCAATGCTTCCTGTGATGCCCTTCAAAATTCTCTTATATCTATCTTCTTCCACAGTGTGCTGTGTGGATACCTTTGACACCATTGTCTTCACAAGGTTGCTAGAGTTTGCTTGACTATTTCTCACCTTATACTCCACATCTTCAAACTGTACATCAATGAGAAAGTAAGTTAAATGACTTCAAAGAGGCAAAATAATAATATAGTTATGATTCTTGTTGGCTTACCAAAATAAGTTATGATACTTGTTACTTGATTCAGATTTTGGTGGTCCATTTGCAACATAGAAAGAAATCCACCCACAAAACACATTTTCATATTCTTTATTATTGATTTATTCTCCAAAAAGTCAACACTTTTTTAAAAGTGACTTGTTTACGAGACAAATAAATTGATTCTTTAGAAATAACCAAAATCAAACTTCTATAGACAATCATATTATCAACTAATCAGAAATAATGGTATGATTTTTAAGACAGTAATCATTTAAGTCAATAAACTTACATTGTGAGTAGATGAGTATATTTACACTTTCGATATATACCCTATTTATTCATCAAAGAATGTACTTATGAGTTTATTGTAACACTAATCTCCTAGAACTTAAAGATATTACTCCCAAGTACCTTGAGAAATATGGGGAGAGGGCGATTTTGTTCCAAATTGGAACCTTCAATTTGTATGTCAATCTCTGAGTACTTATTCTGAAGATATGCCTGAGACATGAACTCTTTTCTGTGACAAAAGTCATGGTTATTGGAACCAACAAATGGGGGTGACATTGATGACATGTCCACAATCTCATCCTCTCTCCCAATTTCCATGATCAACAAAGTCAACAAGAGTAAGTCTGAGGCACAGTCCTGTAACGAAATTTTGAGTCAACTGCATCAAACCAATAGCTTGCATATATAGAGGCAAAATTTTGGTTGGTTGACACACACTTTTCATGGAAAGTTTTTGGTGTGCTATATAGTACTCACATGCCCTTTAAACATTATCAAAAGTTTTCGGTATGTTTTCTATCATTATGATATGCATAAATACATGTAAAGAAAATGAATTAAATTTGGTTCGACAAGAAACTGAACACTTAAAAAATCATTTTGATCAATATTCCCGCATTTCGTTTGATAGATGCCCCTCATTGGTTTGCGTTTAATATGAGTTCTTTTACAAAAAAAAATGGGGAGAAAAGAATGTGATTGAAATTAAACAGTTGAGCCATTAACGGAAACTCTATCTTAAGAATTTTTCTCCATGACAATGATAAATAATTAAAATTTTAAATATAATTTTAGTGGCTCAAATTTAAGATAAATTTATTTTTAATTTAAAATTAATTTTTTAACCTATAATTTTATAATATATTATTTTAATTTTTATACTCAATTTATTTTAGGAAATATATCAAATAATAATACTTAATATCTTGTTAAGTGAAAATATTTTAATAAATTTAGTTAATATTACATAACTATCACAATCTTTCATTTTTAAATATGTTATTGGTAACTTAAGGATTAAAACAATTTTTTTAAAAATTATAGAACTAAAAATAATTTTAAATTTGAGGAATAAAAACAAATTTATCCTAACCTTGAAAAACTAAAAATATATTTAAGTTATAATTAAATAAAATGAATTTTACTCTATAAGTCAAGGTACCGTTCATTTTATAGTTTTATTTTTAAATATGGCAATGTTTCTTTATTTCTTGTTCCCAAAATCGAATAAAATGAAAATAAAATATTTTTATTATTAAAAATTAAAAGATAAAAACAAATAAAAAAGGATATTTAATAAAAAAAACATACTACTATTTTCAAAATATCTTAATTTTTATACAATGACGATCTATTAACTAATTAAAAAATAATCTAAATATATATTTTTTAAATAATTATTATCGAAATCAATAATGATATTACATATAATAATTTGTAATTAAGTTTTTATAATTTAAAGAGACTATAATTTTTTTTATATTATCAATATATTTTAATTAAGTACAAAATATTTCCATATTTGGTTTTAAATTTTTTTTTTTGGAATATTTCATATATCAAATATCATACGAGATAATAGACGTACATGTGGATCAATTGGTATGATATTATTTCCAAATTGTTTTTGGTCATCTTGAGTTCAAGCTTGAGAATATGCATGTGTTAAGTAATCAAATGGGAGAGTTTATCTTTTTTAATTAGTTTAATTAGGATTTTCTCAAATCTAAAGTTAAAATAATGTTGTTTTTATTAGACTTGAAAAGATAAGGTTAAACATTTTTTTTGTTTTTATAAATTTGAAAAAGTTGATTTTTAGTTTTTCATTTTTAAATCGTTGAAATTTATATTCATCATAAACATTATTAATCCAATTTAATAGCAATACTCAATCAACATAACTGATTTTGAGCTTTTAAAATAGCATGTGATAAAATCCAAGCGTGTGGTTCAGCGATAAGGTTTGATCTACGCTTAAACAAAGTCAGGAGTTCGAATCCTGCCTTGTGTATGCAGCCGCGTTAAATCTTGGAGCCAGCTATCCTACCCTTTGAAGTTTGAACTGTCGACTAAAACTTTTACTTCAGGAAAAAAAAAAAAACTGTTTCACCCAGCAAAATAATGCATTTGAGATACGGCATCGTTTTATGCAAGAGTCAAGGATAGACTCTGAACTCTCAAAGCCCAAGCTTCAAACTTTGTCATCCACAATACGGTGTCGTTTCCGAGATTCCTCACTTCCGAAATCACCTTCGTGGTTGCGAACCTGGGTCACGCCCAAGATGTCAGCTTCACCCAGGTACTGTCACAATGCTCAAATTTTCCATTTTCCCCTTCTGGGTTGGTGTTTGGATGCTAATAAAACACGTGAAACGTGAAAAAAATGTATTTTTTTTTTCTATTTATTTGGTTTTCTATTTGTGAGTAGTATTCTGATGTGTAGTGTTTGGTGGTCGGTGTGTAATCATTGCTACTTAATGGAACAGTGAGTGTGAATCTGAGATCATTGAACAGTGGCCAAATCTTGGTATCAGTTTTTCCTTCTTTTTTTAATTTTTTTTTATCCCTTATTTTGTTAGTTTTCTGAACACCTTAGTATAGTATCTTAGCTATAGATTGAAATGAAACTTTGGGCATGATGATGTTGTTCTTTTACGCTGTTATCTTTTGATGACATTATTTATTTCTCTATAAGAATCAACATATTAGTATTACAAGTTGAAGTTAGTCAGTTAATTGTTATTCTTGACAATTGACATGTGTGTACCTTTTGGTGCATTTGCATTTCTGATAAAACTAGGAACGTAGAGCTGCAAAGTGTAAATTACAATTATAGATTAGCTTGTTATGAAAGTTCTGAGCGTGAATTGCTGCACATGCATGATTTTGTGATGCCATTCAACGAAACTGGCTTATGTACAGTTTGCAAAACTGAGGCTTCTTGATGTGATTTTGTGATAGACGTTTAATTAAAGACTAAAGAGTGATGTTTTGTAGAACGACCCCCTCCCCCAAGTTGCTTTTCTTTTGATTGTATGGACTTTGGAGTTTTATTTTGTCTTTTGTTATGGTTTATTATATTACTTGTATATTTGTAGATGTGCTTCTTCTGTCTTTGCCTTCTCTCTTTTTGGTACAGGAGCTTTATGATCTTTTGTTTGGCAAAATGCTTTTGTATTGTATATGTGATGGTTGTTGTTAATCTGGTGTCTTTGCTTGCTTTTCTTCTCATTGTGGTTCTTGTGTTCTTTTGTTCTGAATTGATACTTAAAAACAGAATATATGTTCTGCTTGTTGCTGTTCCTGTATTCATCTGAAGAAGACCTTTATAAGTTAATAAAATTCTTCAAGGGGAGGATTTCAAAGTCTTGTAAAAGTGAAAGGGCTGCTGACCATACATAGTTCTAGGACTCAACTGTACAGGAAGATGGTGGAGGGGTAATTGGTAATTATTGTATAGTTGAAAGCACATTTAATGATCTCAAAATGGAGTCCCAGACATGTGGAACAGAGGGTTCAAAGGGTGACATCTCTATCAATCAGGCCAACAATGATGAATCCAGCTCCAGGATTGAAGGTTTTCTCAAGGATGAACTGAATTGTGTACTAAATGAGGAGGAATTTCCTGAAGGACGGGTTGATGCTGGAAGAGGTTCATTTGGAAATGAAGAGAATCCTACTCATATTGGGGATGGACATTTGACACTCTGGAAACAAAAGGTATCTTTCCTAAAAATATCTCATGATATCCTTATCTTTTGCTGATGTCTAGTTGGGAAATATAATTATATTAAGACCTCTCTTGTTTCTTGATCAGATAAGTCCAATTGTAAAATGTGTACAACAAAGAAGTATTATTGAATTGAATGTGTACAGAAGGTCTTATTTTGTCCTATGACTATTATTACATGTGCAAAGTTGAAATATCTGGCTGATATGTTTCTTTTCTTTAGGCTTCATGCTGGACTTGATAACATTTGAAACTGATAAATTTCAAATTCAGGAGAAGGAACTCATTGATGAAGTAACTGTAAAGACTTCGGAGGTAGAGCTTCTTGAACAAGAATTGGAACTGATGAAGGAAGCAGCTGAGATGGCATTTAATAATCAACATTCTGTTGACTTCTATCTTGAACAGTTGAATGAACAAGTACAAGCTAAAAGAAATTATCTTTTGACTTTGGAGTCAGAGTGGTAGGTTGAATTGTTCATATGATATTTACCAAATATTATTAATTCTGCATCAGCATAGGCACAAATTTGACCAAATAGTTTAATGCTCAAATTTGACCTTTCCAATAAAGAGAGGCATGTTTACCAAATAGTTTAATGCTCAAATTTGACCTTTCCAATAAAGAGAGGCATGTTTACCAAATAGTTTAATGCTCAAATTTGACCTTTCCAATAAATAGAGGCATGTTTGTGTGTGTATCACTTTCACTTTTGTAAGATAAAACTGATATTTCTTGAGCAGAGTAATTTACTTTCCTTTATTGTAAGAGAGTGCTGACAGTAGAATGATTGTTAACTTCACCTATTTCAACGCGTCACAGGGATGCTGTAAGAAAACCCTTGGAGGAGAAAAAAATAAGTCTTGAGGAGTCTCTTTATTCAAACAATCCAGATGCACTAGAAATGCTTCACAAGTTGAGAGAAGTACAGCAGGAAGAGCAGATCATTTTATCTGAAATTATGAAGAGGTAAATATCCAAAGTTTATTTTACATTGGTTTTGCTATTTGAAAAACAAAATTCTCTTGAAAAGTAAGCAAAAGTAGGTTGAAAATGCAATGTTAAACAATGGATTAAGATGAGTCTGCTTACTACATCATTGTGAAACCCCTGGTGGAGACTATAGTAAGTCACATGTTTTCAAGTTTTGTTTAGGAATTGGTGGTTCGTGTTATACTGCTTTTCCTTATACCATCCTTGTTGATTCCCTTCTAGCATTGCTTAATGAAGATAGCTGACTGCTATATCTTTTTTTTTTTTTTTTTTCATGTCAGAGACTTGTGAAAGTTGGAAACTCCTTTGAAGTTATCTTTCTTCCAGTTCTTTATGCATTAAGGCCAATTTTCTAAATTTTGCAATAAATTACCTGACCCCTCATGAACTGTATATATGCAACTCTGCTTTCTAGAAAGAGTCAAGAAATACTTCAAAAAAGATCAATAGCACCAGTGCAGCAAGCTTAATTTCTTTTGTTAAAAGAATTTGTTCATCATGTGTGTATTGCATCTTTCATTTGTAATTGAAGCACAGCTACACTGGATTTACCTAACATAATATGCTTAGTGGTTCAATTTTTCAACTGATTTCATCTCAAGTATTAACTGTGTATCTTTTAGTATATTAATGTCTTTGCATAATCAGATATACTACAATGCATATGCCTTTTTGACTTGGATGTTCTCTCTTCTCCATCACTCTCTAGGGAGGAGGAACATTTGAAACTTTCTGCAGATCTTGAGAAGCAGCAGAAAGTAGCATCCAGGAAATCCTACACTGACCGAATAAAGGAAATTACAAAAAATAGTCGGAAACAAGATGCAGATATTGAGCGGATCTTAAAAGACACTAGGGAGGTTCAACTGGAGAGTAACTCTATCCAGGAACGCTTGCATCGAACATATGCTGTCGCAGATGAAATTGTCTTTAGGTGTGAAAGTTTTATTATTGCCAGCACATCCTCATGCCCACACAAGAAAGAAGAAATAAAATTGAAATATACTTGGAGAACAAAACAGAGAGATGAAGAGACAATGAAGCACCCCGAACTGAATATCAATAGGGAATTGGGATCTAGCTATGAATTATTTTAGCTTAATTGTACTTTGTGCTCCAAACTTTTTCTTTTTGGCAAATTTTGCTCCCAAGTAATTTTTCTTGTGAATTATGTCAGTTTTCCGTCAAAATACTAACAAAGTGTTGACATGACATGTCTGATGGTAGGGTACAAATTGTCAAAATCTTAAAAGTTTTGGAGACATAATTCGCAAGAAAAATTACTTGAGGGAAAAATTTGTCAAAAACCAAAAGTTTGTGAGCACAAAGTGCAATTACCACTTATGATTATTTTTTTTTGTTTTCGTTGAAAAAAAGTCACATCACTCACAAAAAAGTTATTGTAAAAAGCCACATTAGGCATATCATGTCAACACTCCGTTAGTAAATTGATGAGAGGGCACAAATTGCTGAAGTCTCAAAGTCTTGGGGCATAATTTGCAAAAAAAAAATTTACTAGGGGGCAAAATTCGTTGGCATAAAGTGTAATTAAGCCTTTATTTTATGCCATGGTTGATTTTGTTTTACACCAAGGTAAGTAATGTGCAATTTGTTTTCATTTCTTATCTTTACAGGGAAGCAAAGAAAGATCCAACTGGGCTGCAAGTTTATAGGCTCCTGGTTAACATCCACAAAGGTTTTGAACAAATATCTGAGAAAATTCTGGCAACTGATAGAGTTAGAAGAGAAGTAGCTGAATATGAAATGAAACTGGCAGCCAAGTCTTCCGGAAGCTTAGATGTGAGTGAACTAAAAGCTAACCTTGATACCATTATTAGGGAAAATGAATAACCTGAAAAACATTTGCAGTCAAGTGAAGTGTTTCAGCAACCCATTTGAAACTGGCAGCCACAATTTCCAGAAGCCTTTAGATGTTAGCAATCTTCAAGCTGATCTAGAGACCAATATTAGGGAAAATGAATACCTTGAAGAACAGTTACAGGATAAGTGACATTATTTCAACAAGTCATTGGGAACTACCATTTCTATCAGTCAATTACAATTCTTTCATGTTTTGTGTAGCAAAGTTTGATATAGGAACACATTACTTTTTTTCCTTATTGGTTTGAATGATTGAGGGATATTCATACTTGTTTTGTCCATTAGGTGATAGTCCTTGTACTCAATTTTTATTCTTATCATGCATGAGGCTGTGACGAAAATTCCTTGACAAGGCAAGTTTGGCATTTATGAATATGACCTCTCTGATATCAAACCTCCTTCACTAACAAGTGTCTTATAAGAAGGTACTTTTGGTATTTATTCTTTCCGTTTAGTTTCTATTGTTTTAAACAGACTAAGTGGCTTATTGGATGCTTAAGTAAATAATTTTTTCTTCTTTTTGGGGACTAACTTGATGGTATATGTAAAGATAAAATAAAATTGATGACAAATAAGAGAGATAGATAAATAGATTCTATGATGGAAGGAAATAAAATGAGTAATAACAAAAGATATAAATTAATGGTATATTCACCTCTTTAAACCAACCTTTTATTTATGATAACAAGTCTCACATAATAGTGACCCGTATAAATTTTTAATATTTATTTTATATTTTCAGTTGACTTTTCTAAAGTTTAAAAATAATTTTTTTAATAATATTTATGAGTGTGCATCTATATCTAAGTTTTCGCTCAAGTTTTTTAATTGTGTAAAAGTGTCAGCTTAAATGAAAAGTGTCAAACATGTGTTAGACAAGTATGAGGAAAGTATTAGAAATTTGTTGGAGACTTTAAACGAGAGATTTCCATACTTCATGGCAACTACCCTTAACAGTAAGTGATTTGGTTTTTGAATAACTTATTATGTTTTTTTTTATTATAATAAATATATTACTTGAAAGATATTTTTTTTTCTTCTAATAAAGTCTTCTCCCTTAAAAAATCACGGGCTACTGATATATATACCTCCTTTTTTTTATAAGTATACCTCCTTTATTTTTTATTTTTTTTAAATATTCATATATTTTTTTTAATTTTTAATTTTACATCTTTAACTTTTAATTTATTATTTTTTTCTTTTTCACACACCTCCTTCCTTTTTTTTTTTTTTTTTATTTTTCACATATATTATCATGTTTTTCTCTAATTCTTTACCTATTTCAATGAGTAGTTTTAGTTCTCTCGATTTTTATATTATTTTCTTATTTTCTCACCTCTTTCACTTTTTCACATGCACCCAAATCATAGAACTGGTAGGCAACAATATTGTAGTTACATGTAACTTCCTCGATAGTTTCCATTAAACTAGACACACATTTTTTCTTCCAACACTTCCTTTCTTTCATCCCTTCAAAAATTTTAACATTAAGTTTAGTGTTATGAAAAAGACATTTTCACTATTTTAAAGTACTATACAGATAGTGAAATCAGCGAGAAAATTAAAAGAGGAAAGAAAAAAAATAATGTAAAATTAAAAGAATTAAAATTACCTACCAAAATAGGTGAGGATGAAAAAAATTAAGGGGTATATGTGAAAATAAGGGGTACGTAGAAAAAATTATTAAATTAAATGTTATAAGTGTAAAATTAAAAATTAAAGATATTTTAAGAATTTAATTATTTTTTTAAAAAAGGGGTGTACTTATAAAAAAAAAAAAGAAAAAAAAAAGAGGTATATATATTATGATCCTAAACCACGACATTAGCAGTTGCGGATCAGATTACATGCAGTACGAGGCCCAACGGGCCAACCCAAAAAGAAAGAGAGAGAAGAAAAAAAAACTCGTTTTCATTGCAAAGCATAAATAAAACGACGTCGCGGCGCTTCTTTCTCGTAAACCCTAAACCCTAGCCGATTTTTCTTTTTCAGAAGAAAGAAGAAGAAACACAGCGCGCGCAAACCACACACTACACTACACCACTGCTTCATTCACTTTCCTTCAATGGCTCCGCCAAGGAAGAAACCCTCGAAGCCACGCAAATCCCCGAAGAACCCGAAGAGGACCGAACCCAAGCACGATTCCAGCGACGAGTCCGAGGAAGAGATGCCGCCGCAGCAACTCGAGCTCGGCGATGACGGCGCCGACTCCGATTCCGCGTCGGAGCTCTCTTCCGACGGCGATGATCCTTTGGCCGACGATTTCCTCCAAGGAAGCGATGACGAAGGTGTGTAGAGTGTGTGTGTGTGTGTGTGTGTTATGCTCTTGTAGCATTCGACGTGTGTCTTATGTTTGTGCTGTTGTATTGCAGAGAAAGCCTCGGGTTCGGATTCAGGTTCGGGTTCCGGTTCTGATTCGGATGATGATGATATTGAAAAGAAGTCGAGAGCTATTGATGAAGAAAAGGCGAGAGAGGAAGAGGACGCGGAAGCCGAAATGCAGCTCAACATCAACCAAGAGTCTGATGAGTTTAGATTACCTACCAAAGAGGTTTCATTTTTATTATTTTTTTTGTTTGCAATTTATTGTGACCATTGTTGCTTTAATTATAGAAGAATGCTTTTAAAACAGGGTTTTTGTTATCGTTTTGGTTTTTTACAATCTATTTTGAATGCAAAATAAGCTAACTGTAGCTGAGGGAGTGTTTGGGTTTGGAAGAGCTTCTATAGAGTTTATTTGGGGTTTTGGGCTTATCATGTAAGCATTTAGTAGGTAGGTGTGTGGTCTAGCTAATGAAAATGATATACAGTTTTTTTGTATTTTTTTTTTAGCATTTTAAATAAGCTTCTTGGTGGAGCTTATTAAAATAAGCAAGCATATGTAATGAGCTCAAGTTAAATAAGACTTGGTTAAGCTGTTTTACCCAAACAGTGCCTAAATCTGTTGCTCTTGGTTTTCACATTATTGGTTGATGGAATGTTTTTTTTTTCTTTTGCTGTTAGGAACTTGAGGAAGAAACTCTGCGCCCACCTGATCTTACCAATCTCCAGAGGAGGATTAAAGAGAGTAGGTTTACTTTGCAGTTGGATTATATTTGCTGTCGTTATGAACAGTCTTTAGGTTGTTCTGTAGAGGTTGTTGTAATTGTTTTAAATGTGTTTGTTTTTCTAGTTGTTCGTGTTCTTTCAAATTTTAAGGCTTTGAGGCAAGAGGGGTCAACAAGGAAAGATTATGTTGAGCAGCTTAAGAAAGATATAAGTACATACTATGGCTACAATGAGTTTCTAATTGGTGCTCTAGTGGAGGTTGGTGTCATAATATTATTACTACCTATATTTAGAACTTTAATTTCTTCCCAGTTGCTATTGCTTGTTGTGTGCTTTTCTAGAAAGAGAGTTGTGCTTCATTAATGTGTAATGAAGGTTTGCAAAAATTTTGTATTTTGTTTTGTCTCAGATGTTTCCAGTTGTTGAACTTATGGAACTGATTGAAGCCTTTGAAAAGCCACGCCCTGTATGTCTGAGGACTAACACATTGAAGGTTGCTTGTCCTCTCTGTCATTTTGGGTTAATATGTTAATGTGGATTTATTCATGTCCCCAGTGAGAGTAAAAAAAATTTCTTCTGCATTCTATCAGACACGCAGACGGGATTTGGCTGATGTTCTGATAAATAGGGGAGTAAATTTGGATCCTTTAAGCAAATGGTCAAAGGTAAATGATTCGTGACATAGATTTCTGTTGTCCTTTAACTTCTTTGTTGATTTTTGACCTTTTTCTGTTGTTATCATGAATACCAGCAACAATCTAATAAGAAAATGGAATGACATTTTTATCCACAGGTTGGACTTGTTGTGTATGATTCTCAAGTGCCAATTGGTGCTACTCCTGAGTATATGGCTGGTTTCTACATGGTAGTTAGCTTTTTAGTATTGTGGCTTCTCCATTGCATTTTATTTATATATTGCACGATCATTACTAGTACTTTAACTGTTTGTAGCTACAAAGTGCAAGCTCTTTTCTGCCTGTGATGGCCTTAGCTCCTCAAGAGAAGGAACGAGTTGTTGATATGGCGTAAGTATACATCATTGTAAAATTGCAGCTAAAAAGTATTTGAATTGTTCATGCAGTACTATACATGGACAAGTTCCAACACAATTATGACAGGACTTGACTGCTATTTAGAAGTGTCTGTGATTCTTAGCTTAGAAGTTACCATCTTCTAGATTTTTAATTTGAGCACTTTTGGTTTGAGTATCAATGCACAACATGTTTCATTTTTGCAATGCTTCTGTTTTACTGAAGGAAGTTTATGCTTTTTGCAGTGCTGCACCTGGTGGTAAAACAACTTACATTGCTGCACTAATGAAAAATACTGGTATGTTTTATATTTTGTTTCCCATGCATTTCAAACCATGTATATCCATTATTTGGCACCAAACAGTTTGTAAAGTTATGTTCATTGCACTGCTTCATAAATTTGTAACCAGTATTGTGGTCGGGACTTAGTTTTTTGTTACTGTCATTTATCTTGAAAGACACTGTAATTTATGCTTTATTTTGGGATATTATCAAGTATATTCCATGAGAATGCTGTGTTCTATATGCATTACAACTGAGCTGAAATGTGTTTAACTTAAAATATACAATAGTGGCTCTTTTTGGTAAATCGTTTTTTAACATGGATTATATGCCATGTCTTTATTTTAATGTATGTTTATGCAGCTTTTTTCCATATAATATTTAGTTGGGATGATTTAAGAATTTAATAAGTAATTATTAGCGGAAACAGGAACCAAACATTTTACTTCATTTTGGATTGTAAAATTTGTTTTTCGGCCTTAGATTAAACTTCATGCTAGTTTTCTTTTTTCTGCATAAAAAGATGTGCTATAAACTCACATGTAGTGCAAAAGTAAATATTCAGCATCTACATGGAACTTCTCGATCTAATTGTGACACTAGAAAAAAGCATTATCAGGTGTTTCTTCCTTGAATTGATGTCTGTATTTTCCTGCTTATTTTTTATCTTGTATTCCTACTTACTGTTGGATGTTGGAATAGGAGTCATTGAGCTAATTGCTCCTAAATCGGTTACATCTATGTTTTGCTTCAAGATTTTTGTTTTTGTAAAAAAATTCATGTTTCCCATAATCCAGTCATCCCATTTTTTTTATGGCAGGAATAATTTTTGCAAATGAAATGAAGGTACCTAGGCTTAAGTCACTGACTGCAAATCTGCATAGACTGGGTGTATCTAACACTGTAGTTTGTAACTATGATGGAAAGGAGGTTAGCATCTTTTGCTCTCATTAATTCTCGTTCACTGGTTTACTACAGAAAAACTTTAATGTCTCTACTTCTATTAGATTGTATTATCATTTGGTTTTGTTTTTGATTTGATTATCGATTTGGCTTCTTTGTTCTGCATAATTTATTTGGATTGATGAATTGGTTGCCCTATGTTTGTTGGAGATAAAGGAAGGATGCTTCTTTGTTGTGAAATGCCGAGAGAAACATCCCAAATAATTGTGCCAAGAAAGAATATAATTGAATGAAACTGGAATTATATCTAGAGTACAGGCCATTACATTAATGTCGAGTTGTCGATTATGTTGATATTATGCTAAGTGTTAGTGATTTGTAGATCAGAGCATTGACTGCCAACCCATTCCCACTTCTTCACTGGATTACTTGTCCTCCGTCTCCATAGACTGCAAACGTGGAGGCATTTCAACCCTATTCACAAGCTCTTCCCATATCTGAACTAAGCTGTTTCCTTACATCAATGATTGCTCCAGCCTTTCATTTCGCTCAGCCAACCCAAAACATTTGCTCTGCAACTCCTCAACTCATTCTGTATCAATATATCTAGCATCAGAATGAGTCTCCTCCCTCAGCAACCATCTGCTCCCAATCATTCATGCGCAATAGCCAGTCAATAAATCCTCTCAATTTTATATCTTGAATGAAACTGCTCTGGAAGATCTAAGTCTTCCAAAGTTTATAATATGACATTGGAACCTGTAAAATATAGACCAAACCCTAGAAAATTATCTTCTGCCCTTTTTGCTACAAGAGTTGTTACTGATTTTGTCCATTTCATTTATTATTATTATTATTGTAAGTTATCCTTGGTAAATGTATACATCTGAGCATTTTAGTTAAACTTCTGTTTTTCACGTCACTGCTATTTGTAATTTGTCGGTTGTATAATGATGTTGTGTTGTAAATGCTGACATCTTTTTAATGTCTATATTGTTTTATTTCAGCTTCCAAAGGTTTTAGGTGTCAATGCCGTTGATAGAGTCTTGTTGGATGCCCCTTGCAGTGGAACTGGGGTAAGAATAGTGAATATTAGGGAGTTAAATTTTAGGGAGATTTCTTGTCTCTGTTTTTTCTTTAATAACCAAGAAAGGTACTGAAGGACTTCCTCTCTGCAGGTTATATCCAAAGACGAGTCTGTTAAAACTTCTAAAAGTCTGGAAGATATACAGAAATGTGCACATGTACAGAAGGTAAATTAAACTTTATTAAAGGTTCTGTTTGGGAAGTTGAGCTGGGACTGTCCCAGCAATGGTTCAGTTTGTCCTTTTCTACTCTTGTTTAATATTTTCCTTTTTTTGTAAAGGAGCTCATTCTTGCCGCAATTGACATGGTGGATGCTAATTCAAAATCTGGGGGATACGTAGTTTATTCTACATGCTCAATCATGGTTGCTGAGGTTTGTATCTTAGTTGGATCGATTGAGTTAGTGTGCATTTTTTCTTTCCTTTTTTATGTAGTATGTTTCTAATAGTTCTTTCATTAAATATTCTTCAGAATGAAGCAGTTATTGACTATGCACTCAAAAAGAGGGATGTTAAACTGGTTCCTTGTGGACTTGATTTTGGGCGTCCAGGGTATTAATTTTATTCCTGTTTTTTTCCCTCCCTCGTGTATATCACTTTAGTGTGACATTTTTTATTTGCCATCAGGTTTATAAGGTTTAGGGAACAACGTTTTCACCCTTCTTTAGAAAAGACAAGGCGTTTCTATCCTCACGTGCACAATATGGATGGGTTTTTTGTTGCAAAGGTATGTATTCTTAGTTTGATAAATGAAATTTTGATTAAATAAAGCATGATTGTTGGACTATGAAGGTTCGGGAAAACCAATTTACATAACTATCTTATTGGTTAGAACCTTGTTCAATTATCTTCGTTGTTGACGTGTGATTTAAGTTTAATTTTACTTACAGTGATGCAATATAAAAATAATATTGATGTTGTTTCCATTACTTTTTAGTATCCAACCTCTTAGCCGGAAAACTTCAACCTTTTTTACTTCTGAAGTTAATTATAGACAATGATTGCAGGAAGCTGAAAGTACTGTTATTCTGAAAGTACTGTTACTCATATGGGGTTCAAAACAAACTCGTGGTTTTTACTTTTTATACTCTCTAATAATGCAGTTGAAAAAAATGAGCAGCTCAAAGCCTGGTGCAAAACCATCAGAAACAGCCGAGGAAGAAGAAACTACTACGTCAGTGAAGGAAAAGGAGAAATCAACTGATGGCATAAAAGAAAATGGAAATGTATCTTCTGAACCCGAATCCAAAAAGATGAAGAAAAGGAAATTCCCATCAAAACCAAGTAATGGTTTAAAAGAAAAAGGCAAAGAATCTTCTGAATCTGAACCTAAAAAGAGGATGAAAAGGCAATTTCCATCTAAGGAAGAGATTTCGAAAGCAAGGTTAGATGTTTTCTACGTGTTTGGCATAAACCTTATGCCCCTCTTGACACTTTAGAGTGTATCTTTTCATTCAATAAATTTATAACAGCTTATGGATATAAACCTTCCTATGACAATGTGATTCCTGCAGGGAGGAGAAGAGAAATGCTTTAAGAGAAAAAAAGAGAAAAGGTAGCAAAAAACAACAGAAGCAAAAATGACCCGTTGGCAATACATGAAGCAGTGATAGTCAAGTGTGCAGTTTTAGCGCAGAACCGACTCAACTCCAACAAGATGGAAGTGCTGCCTGTCACAATTTTGTACCCTGGAATCAGTGTCATGCCCTAATCTTAGGGGGCCCATTTTTGTTTTGTTTGTAAGGTTATTCATTTAGCTGAGGTTTATTTTAACTTTCGATATGCAAAGCTGTAAATCAGAAAAGAAATATTCCTTTTTCTTATGTGGTATTATTTAATTTGAATTTATTTTCTAATCAATATTGTCCTCGATGTTAGTTGTCCTCCATACGAATTACACTTGCATCAAATGGTTTTATAATACCTATGATTGATCATGTTTCAATTGTTTTATGTTATTGCAATCAATTTTCCATATGAAGCAAATTTTATTTGGTATCTTTTTGTATTCATTGCGCCTTTTGGAGTTGAGTCTGGAGAAAGCGTTAACCTTGGGATATATAAGATGGTAGAGAGCTTTCAACTTGGTTCGTTGAATTATCTGATTTTGAATATTACTTGTTGGAATGGATCTATTTTCGATGGATGAGATCTCAGCCATTTAAAAAATATTAAATATTTTTTTTTTTAATCATAATAGAGTTTAAAAACTTTAGGGTGAGATTTTAACAATTAAGAATCTTAACTCTTAAGTTCTTTTTTTCTTTGAGAGAATCTCTTTCTATCCTTAGCAAAAGCTAGAAACTGCGTAAAACTATTAGTATCACCATAAAATAACAGTATCCTAGTCAGCATTAGCAAGTCTATACTTATACTTCATCGTTTCAACGTCCTGGACATAGATATGGTGTGCTATGGTATTTAAGATTTCAGGATGTTTAATTAAGAAAGCTGGTTGGAGATCTTAAATTTACCGTCAATCTTTCTTTTGAATCATATCAATTATGAATTATATTCAAATGATGTTACAGTTAGAGGTACTCTTTACCTTGTTTGTAGGAGAGAATTTGATAATTTTTTTTAAAGACCAATGTAAATCATATACATTCATTTATAATAATTTATTCAATATAAAAGGGGTATATTTTCATGAACATGTAGACTAACATAAAATTTACTTTTTAACTAAAAAATGAGTAACTTAATTGACGTATCTAAGAACAAATTTTATAATATAATTCAAATATATGATCAAAATCTCATCACACTTTTTTAAGATAGAATCAATTCATTGTTCATAAAATTTTTGCATGTTACAGTTTTTTTTTTTTTAACAATCAAATTCAACAACTTAAGTGTGAGATTTATAAATGTAATATATGTCAATTATATGTCAATACATTGAAAAAAAAAGTTATTGTTTCTACCTTCAAAGGTGTAACATTGTCTTGATACCAACTAGTTAAAGTTGAAAAAAAATTGTCATCATGATCACGAATGCATGTCTCATAATTATAGTGTCTAGAATCAATAAAAACAACAACATCAATGTTGCATTTAATACTCCAAAAGACTTCTCTTAAAATGAAATAGCATAAGTTAAGGTTGTCGTATGAGACTCATTTTTTTTCCTGTCCTATGCAAACTTCAAGCTACAAATTGTTTGCACAGTCGAGTTAAAGGGAAAAGTTGTAAACTCCACATTATTTGGCACTTTATCATTTCTTCCCTTCCACATACACCAAAATTCATAAATCAATTTCTCTTTTTCTAGTTTCCACTCTACGCAAATTTGAAAGAGCCTCTAAAATAATATTCTTGAAGCTCTACATGCTATTTGTTACATCATGTAACTTGGACAAAATTTTAGCTTGGTTCCACAATGCCATAGCATGATCTCAATGGAAAATATATGTGAGTTTGTTTTTGATTCTTCTTCGCAAAATGAACACAAAAGTAAACAATGAACTCCCTTTAAAATTAGACATCTTGATGAGATACTACCACGAGCTATTCTCTAAACTAGGATCTTCATTTGGTGTGGAACATATAACTTCTATATTGAGTTTCAATCACCACACTCACAATAATGTTCATTATCAATCATATTCTTCATAACATGGTAGTAAACGAATTAACCGAATAATTCTCGTTTTTACTAAATTTTCAAAGCAATTTATCTTCATCACTTAGCATCATGATTGACATTACAATATAATTTTCTCATCATGAACATTAAATTATTCATGAATTAAATTTTGATGTCACATTCCAAAATCATGATCAAATAAAATATCAACCTTCATTTGTTCCAATTCAATCGTTGTCTCATATTAAACAAAAGATGTGTCATTTACTTTTGGTCACGGTTCTTTTTAAACATTTACTTCCCACCCATCACCAACTTTTCTTATGGTATACTATGGACATCCTTTAATTTTTCTTAATTCACTGCACTTTATTTTATTTTTGTATTATTAATTTATTATTATTTTACATGTTTTTGTTGTAATATTACACTCAATACCCGATATATAATTTGATGAAGCAAATTAAGATAGTTGTTATTGAGACTTGTTAGGAAGAGGATAAATTGTATTTTGTTGAAGTTATAGCAATTGATTTTGAAAGTAAATAGAATGATTATTTAAAGTTTATGCATAAATTAATGATAATGACAGACAAACCCATATTTAGGGTTAGAGTGAAACATACATTAGCATCTGTAAAATCATGTTATTTTATTAACATTACTTGAAATGATTAACAAGTTTGTTCTTTGTTAATCGTTAGGAGAAGAAAGTTAATTTCTCAAGAATTTATTGTCTAACATATATAGCAAATATACCGTACCAAAATATTGAAAGAACAAAAAAAAGTAATGCTATTTGTTTAATCTTTACTGATATAAAAAAAAATACTAACTCTTTAAGTAATTAAACAGCTTTTTTTAATATTAACAAAAAAATAAAGAGCTAGATACGATAACAAACACATTTTCATTAAAAGATACAAAATAAAAAATTGTTTAATGCTAATAAAATATAAAAAAGAAAACCCTATAGCTTTATTTTATGAATAAATAATGTGTGTATTATATTAATGGTTTAAAATTTTCATATACTTTCACATGATCACAGATAGTAATGTATAAGGTTGATTCTTGCAAGGTTTTCACCTTCCTGGGCCTGGAAGGCCGGAAACTTTCTTTGGGCCTTTGTTCTCTTGACCCAAAAAAAAAAAAACGAAGCTCATATAAACGACACCGTTTTGATTTTGTTCACCAATAACTCGCCATAAACCCTAAACCCCTCCGTCTGGCTTCCTCCTTCTCCATTCAGAAGCTCTGAGAGAGAGAAAGAGAGAGAGAAGAAGAAGAAGAAGAAGAAGAAGAAGAAGGATGTCGGAAGAAGACGAATCAATGTCGGAGCAGAGTAATGAATTAGGACTTGATTTCATTCTGAGCTTGGATAGTGTTCCATCAAAGCTCCCTCCACACCTCGAACTCATCAAATCACGTGTTCTTTGTTCCAACGATGCTCCTCTCCATGTAAACCCTCTCTTCTCTTTTCATTATTTTTAATTTTACCTAATTTTCGCTACATATAATTTTTTTTTATATCTATTTTTCTCTTTTTTAATACCCAGTTTCACAAAGTTTGTAGCTTTTCAATTGGGGTCCCAAGTATCACACTTGTTATTAGATGGTGTTCCTCTTGTTATTAACAGTTTTCATGTGTCGGTGTTTGTAGACGGATACTATTCAATATTCTGGTGCCTTTGCAGCTTTGGGAGTTGATAATAGTCAGCGCTTGGATAGTTTCTGTGAAAACTTCAAGGTTGAAGTGAAGCGCCTTACGGATAGTGACATTGAGTTTGATATGATTGGTATTGATCCAGCGATTGCTAATGCTTTTCGAAGAATCCTTATTGCAGAGGTGATGTATTTATTCATGCTATTGTGTGCAGTGGTGATGGTATGCTTTTTGGTTTTTTATATTTTGATGCATTACTTCTTTTTATATAACGATGCACATTACACAGAGAAGGAATTACTTTTAAAGTAGTTTTGCCTTCCCTTATTGTACCATTCACTTCCCTAAACTTAGCATCCTTACTATGTCCACTAGGTGAACTCTATAATGAATGGTTGTTCTCTACTCTTCAAAAGCATGCACTTTATGAGCTTATGTTGTTTTTCTATTGAGAGAATCAAATTAAAGATGATGAACAGTGATTCTTACTCTTCTTTGTCATGTTAATGCCCTTAGCCTTCTCCATTTTAGCCTCTCTGAAAGATTTAAATTTTGATTGTATCAAAAGCAAAGAATTTACGAAATCTAAGACAATGAGAAATAGATTGAATGGAAATTTCTTATATTAGATGTTTCAGAAAGCCTGCCACCTAAGATTACTCCAGTAATGTATAACGTCTTATAGTAGTTTTATTTTGAGTTTTTATTGCCCTATGATAACTTTGATTAGTTTATTAGTAATAGTGTTGTTGTGTAGTACTGGTGGAGATAATTAAATTTTTATGTGTTTTAGGTTCCAACAATGGCTATTGAAAGAGTATATATAGCAAACAATACATCAGTTGTACAGGATGAAGTTCTTTCCCATAGATTGGGCCTCGTTCCAATTCGTGCTGATCCTAGGCTATTTGAATATCCAGGTTTATATCTATGCTAACCCATACATGTATTTCTCATTATGTTTATGATTTTCTTGTTTGATAACTTGAAAATTGGAATTACTATGTACAATTTTGAATTTAAATACCTTATATGGCAGGGTCACTGGGTTTAATGTTTGTTAATTTTTCCTTCTTTTCTTTTGGATAGACAATGCGGGAGATGAGAAGAATGAAAAAAACACCATTGTCTTTAAGCTACATGCTCGTTGTCATGTGGGTCAACCTCGTATTACTGGTAAAGGACTTGAAGCTCTTGCTTGATGATATTCATGTTGCTTTAAAATTTCTTATTTAGCTATATGAGTTTATCCTCAACCTTTGCAGCAATCTTTTTTTGTCTGATGATAGTATGATACTAATGCAGTGAAATCAGATAAACTAAAGTGGTTACCTAATGGGAGTGAGCTTCCTTGTGAAGATGCCAAACCAAGTGCAGGTTCAAAACCAAAAACATTTACATCATTTACTTGCAGCCAAGATTCACTTCCTGAATTTTCCAGCAACCCAATCAGTCTTACATATTCGGATATTATATTAGCTAAACTTGGACCTGGTCAGGTAACCTTCTATCAAGGGAGTTGGGTAATCACTCGTAGATTTTATGGTTTAAGGTTTAGAGAGACATCAATTAATATTTTCATGGGTACCTTTTCCTAGTTAACCTATTTCAGGGTTTCCTTGTAGCACTTAAATTAGATCTTTTTATTACAATCTTTGTGATGTTCTCTTTCCACCCTGAATCTACTTTAAGATTTATGTTTCTGTATCAGGCCTTTCATTTATAATGTTATGCAAGCTCTATGAGTTATCTGATTTTGCAAACTTGTTACTGTATACACGTTTGTCATACTTAATATTGAATAACGTAAATACATACTATTGTAGGAAATTGAACTTGAAGTACATGCAGTTAAAGGCATTGGTAGGACACATGCAAAATGGTCCCCAGTTGCCACTGCTTGGTATCGGATGCTTCCAGAGGTAAGGGAATATGAAATATGTCATCTACTAGTCACATTCACATGTTGCTAAAAAATTATTCAAATCTTGGCATCTGTAAGCTTGTTTTACCTTCTCTAGGTTGTACTCTTGGAAGATGTTGAGGGTGAGATTGCTGACGAATTAAAAAAGAAGTGTCCAGTTAATGTGTTTGATATTGAAGACATTGGAAAAGGTAGTTCCATTTTTGTGTCATTGCCCTTAACACCATTTTTTATAGCTTAATATTGTGGAGCATTGAGGATGAAGGATGATCACATCAACAAATGGAATTGGTTTAACATCAATGTCTGCCTTGTGTTGCAGAATAACATGTTATCGTGTTAATGATTGATAACATGTGATCTGAAGATCCTAATTCTTTGGTACTTTCTTAATTTGCTGATTTGGTTGTTGAGTAGGTAGAAGAAGGGCAAAAGTAGCCAGACCGCGGGAGTGCACTTTGTGTAGGGAATGCATCAGAGGGGGCAAAGAATGGGAAGATCGTGTATCATTACGTCGTGTGAAGAATCATTTCATTTGTAAGTATTATATGTGACCTATTGAATTCATAGGATTAGATCTTCAAAGTTATCTGAACATACAAAAAAATACACCATCTTAAGGAGTCTAGTTTCAAAGTAACTAGTTCTTGTAGTGGCCTTACAGATATTGATTATGAAATAGTTTAAGAATGTTGGTATATATTAAGATGATAGCCAATGGTGGTGGCAAATACAAAGAATAGAGTGTTCTGATAGTTTAACACACCAGAGATAGTTTGGCAGGTATAAGATGAAGTGATGCACGCGAAGAGTCTCCTTAATTTTAAATTTTATCTAGAAAATTACTTGATTATCATCCGATTAAATTTTATGCAAATCTGTGGGTTTGACTTGAGTTCTGACAAGGATTAATGTTTAACAGTCCCAAAAATATCTTAACATATATTTTTGACTTGTTTGTGTAGTTACCATTGAATCAACTGGAGCATTACCCCCTGAAGTGCTATTTACTGAAGCTGTGAAGATTCTGGAAGATAAATGTGAACGTGTGATTACCGAGCTTTCTTGATTCTTCTTCATGGCATGTCTTAAGATCAATGAAATGGAAAGAAATTGTCCATGATCAGTTTTGTTATTATTCCATTTTATTTTTAGGACAGGTTTTTCTATAATGTGAAGGCTCTTTCTTTACTCATAGTTAAGCTGTGCATGTCTGCATAGCCACGATCTCATCTGTATTATCCAAATTTAGTAGCTTAATTTAATAGATTTAATTGCACCTAAAAGCACTTCTTAGAATTAATGTGTTCAGTTCTTGTGAAAATAATTAAATTTAGTTTTAGTTTGAAAATTATTTTTTTATTCATCAAATTTCAAAGTTAATATAATTCATGACACTTGAACCATCACATACAATAAAAACTAATTCCTAAAACAAACCAAATCTAATCACATGTATAAGAATCAATATATTTTATCCTTCTGCTTACAGAACCACGGGGTGTCTAATACTGTCTATATGTCAATTAGCATTTTCCTTTATAATATTTTTTTAATACTTTTTATGAGATTATTGCTCTCTAATTTTATCATTCTAATTATCTTATTTTAAGTTTTTTCTTTTCTTTTCTTTGTTATTTCATTTTTTCTCTTTGCATGATAAACAGTATAAATTTGTTGTATAAAATTATAATTTCATTCCCTTTTACTGGAGCTGCAACTTCTATTTTACAATGAAGTCTCTCACCCCTGTAAGTCATTTGTAGGTGACATTCAATGAACTATAAACCAATCAAATTGATCCAAACATTTGGATTTTAGCAAGCAAAGCTGTGCCTTTGTGCAGAAAATATGGCTAACCATGTCGGCATGTGCTTTCCATGTAGGTGCAATGGAACATAGCTTTTTGTTCCACAACAATAACTTTTGGACTTTCATAAGAAAAGTTTCACATTTGAGTAGTTGTTCCACTTGCCTAAGTATGGGTTTATGTATTTTGAAAAGAAAATTATTTACTTTTCTAATTTTTTGAATTTTGAAATAATATATTCCAACCATGTTGTAAAATTCATAGTTCATTTGTTTTTACCGATAAAAGCTGTCAGTATTTTTTTAACCCGAACTTGGTGTTTTTATTTTTTAAAATATTTCACTTATTTGTATAAGGAGTTTCTAATGATTCAATGATTCATGTATTTCTAACTAATTGTGTTAGACTACTTAAATTCTCAATAAAGTTAATTGTGTTTGTTTACTTTTTAAGCTTTTCCTCATCTCATTGTCTCTCTAAATCACATGCTTGAGTTAATAAACAAAAATATTTGCAACATTTGCATGTTTATAATTTAATAATGTTGGGCATGTGTTTAGAAATTAACTACTTTTAATAATATTTAGTCTTATAATTACGTTTTTTTATTAACAAGACTTGAACTCAAAAATTTTCTTAGTAAAAATAAATTTAATTGTACTCAAATTAACAACTTGTTAATAAACAAACATCAGAATAAATTGTAGATATTAAATTAAATTGATTATTGTATAGCACGACCAAATATTTATTATGAATTCCACAATTCCACATGCACAAAATAGGCCCAAATACTGCTCATCCACAAATAGTGCAAACCATGATCAATTAAAGAATCTCGTGATTCCATAAAAAAGAAATGTCACTATTGGACATTGATACTGTAATATAATATAGTACTGCCCTTATATGAATACCTTAAAACATTACAGAATAAATATTTATTTTGCCAATATTGGTTAAGTTAATATTATTTCAGTCCAGATACAAATGTTAACATTAATTTACCTTCTCGATTACAAAAAATAACAATTAAATTAAATTAAATCATCTGTTATGCATAAACCAGAAGATAGAAAGGCAAACTATTTTTCACTCTTTTCTATGATTAAATAACTGAATTAATGACATTTTCATTATTAAAAATGCATGAATGTCAAAATTTGTTAAAAAAAAATAAAATCGAAGTGGCTCTCAATATTTTTATGACTAAACTAATTTCATTTGTTTATCTCAATCCAATGTGTCATGAAGCAATAATATCATGCAGAAATAATAATATATCCCCATAGCTTGTGTCATTTTTCAACCATTTCACAATGCCACCTTTCAATATATAAATGAGGTGATTCTCCACTTTTGACAAATAAGTGAGTTATTTAATTTTGTGTTATTGAAGCATCTTACACGTGCAAAAGCTTACAAATATAATGACTAGTGTGTCACTTTGGCATTACCTATCCCCTTCATTCCCTTTTCCCATGTTTCTCTCTTCTTTCCCAATTCCTTCTTGTTTAATTAATTAACATATCTATGTAATTGGCCATTGAGAAACTTTAGGCAAAGGACAAAGATTGCCTTATATTTCTAATCCAAATTGAATACTATGCTTTGTTACAATTGGAAAGAGGTATTATAGTGTCTTTAACTTTAATTTGGCCATCTAATCCTTCTTATATGTTTTTTCAAAGATTCTAAAATCGACTCCTAAACTTTTGGTTTTTATAGAATTAACAAAGGGAAAGGTACTCAAAAGAAACACATAAAGGAAACCCAAATCATAAAATTACATAAGAGATAAGATCTCTTTGTGGCTTATGGATATCAACTTTCAAACGCATGCTCTTCTTTTTGTATAAAATCTAGAAAGAAAGAAAGAAGAAAAAAAATGTGACCTAGAAACAGGTCTTGCATATATAGTACATTCATTAAAAGACTTTAATATTTGTAATAATAATAAAAAAAATAGATATCATTTTCTATCTACCATTTTTTTCGCCAGAAAAACAAAAATAATATTAGAGGTGTTGTTATAACGTTGAAACATAATTATAAAAGCTAAAAAATAATAATCACTTAGATAAAATGACAATAATTTGCATTTCTATTGGTATAAAAAACGACTGTTGTCAAATACTTTAATTTGTAAAGGTGAATAGTCACTTCCTTAAAATCAACTTCATCAATGTGGCAATAAAGAAACTAGTCCTTTATCTTTTTGCAAAGATTAAAATATTTTGAAAATAAACTTACAATGAATGATGAGAGGATGGGGAGAAAATTGAGAAGATTGGAATATTGTTATGGAATGAGAAAATGTGAAAGCAGATCTGAAAGCATGTGATGGGCATAAGAGTTAAAAGTAATAAGCATTAAGCAGAAGCAAAAGTCAGAAAAAATGAAATGAAAGACATGGGAGGGTGAGAGGGTGGCGTGCTCAAATTATGAAGATGCAACTTAGTACCCACTATGTTGGAAGAAGAGGGCCATTTTTTTACTACACTTTCTTTTATATATATTTTTTATTGTCGATTAAATTTAAAGTATTTAATTTTTATATACTATCAATATATAAAAAATTATATTATTAACTAATCATAAATTATAATATATATATATATATATATAGAACTTTTTTAAAGCCTGTGAAAGTAAAAAGAAAATTATCATACATTAAAAAAGAAGATGACTTCATATGATTTTGTGATTTATATTAAATATTAATAAAGAACAAAAGAAATATGTTGTGAAAGGATGTTAAAGATTATGAGTGACTTTTTCGATATTAAATAAGTAACTCAAGAAGGATGTTAAAGATTGTGAGCAACTTTTTTAATGTTAAAAAAGTTGTTATATACTATTGAGTGTGTAGATAAGTTAATATTTCTTTTGTTAAAAAAAAAAAAAAGTTTAAATTAAGATAATATACAATTTTATTTAGGTCAAAAACAATCAAATTCTAAGAATTTTAAGTGCAAGATTATGGCTCTCCTACTCCATTTTTAGTGTAAGTTCACATGGAATAATATAAAATATGAGAATTCAGATTCAGTCTTAAGTCTTAATTAATAGAAACAAAAAGATTTAACCAATTATGTTGTCGTCACAGATATAAGTAAACTAATATATAACTATTTTGGTTTAGCTAATGATTGTAAATTAAAAAAAAAATTATCTATGAAAATTACAATAATGAAAAGTTGACAATTAAATTCAAACTTAATATTCTGGGTATAGTATCCCAACCTTTTTACTACTAAGACGAACTTATTAAATAAATTTCTTTTATAAAGAAAATATTATATTAGAGTAAGGCCCCATACGTACAAGATTAGAAGAAACTATATTTAATCATAAGTTGTAACTAACAAAAACAAAATGACTGAACTAGGTGTATCATTTTCACGGACATTAAATCAAAGGTTTGACTATATATGCCATTACATTAATTAAATATTTAAAAAGAGATTTGTATTATTTATAATAATCCTATACACTAGTAAAATTGAGTTGTGGAAATCAAAGTGTAGGTCATAAAAGTGGAGCTTATGGGTTATAGCCATAGCCATTGCTTGCTAGCTGCCAATAATATCTTAATGAAGTGTTTAAACTTTGAAAGCTTTTTAATATTTGTTACTCTCACATTTTAAACTTTTATATCTTGCCATCGCCACTTATTTCTTTCATATATACTATTACTTGCTACCTACTCAAATAAAATACTTCATGTCTCAAGGAATTACTTATTTTTAAAGTAAATAACTTGAATCAACTTTTGTAGAGTACATTGTTTCAAATTAACATATATAGTTTTGAGTTTGAATTTTTTAAGTGTAGATTTGTGGTAAATATTTGTGAAAAAAAAATTATTATCTATGATAATTTTATTAAGATCAAATCAAGTTATCTTTAGTGAAAGATATATGTGATTCTTATGAAAACAAACTTTAAAACTTGTTTTAGTTAATTTTTGTTATGATATGAATTTGATAAAATTTAAATTTAGGTGATGTATCATTATTGATATATAGTTTTGTCTCTTAAATGTGTAGTGAAGAGATTTATTTTTTATTTTTGTGTATGAACAAGATTCGTTAAAAAAAAATCAATTCTTTAAATTTATTTAATTTGAATTTTTCTCTTGACACACTTTCTAATTTTTTTCCCCTTATTTTGTCTTTCTTCCTTTTCTTGTTGTTTTCTTTATGCTTCTATTATTGAGGCTTTTAAAATTTATCAAAAAAATAAAATTTCATAAACTTAAGATTAGAAAGTTTATTTTTCTTAGGTTGAAAGATGGATGTTGTAACACCCAAATTTTTATTATTATTATTTTAATGGAATTTTCGTAATTTTAATAAAGTTAAAGGGGTATTTTGGGTTCCGGAACGGGCCGTTCCAAAAGTGGAACGGGCCGTTCCAAATGTTGAAAATGTGAAATTTTTGTAGTCCCAGAACGGGCCTGGAACGGGCCGTTCTGGTATGGAGA